ATTTTTATTTGTAGGCAAATTAATCGATTGTTGCTGAAAAAGCAAATATTTTCATAATTCTTTTTATTTCTGACAAATATTGAACATTTTTTTAATCAATTAATAAAAACCCGGTTTTTATTCGTATACAAGTTAATCGATTATTTCTGAAAAAACAAATATTCCCTTAAATTCTATTTATTTCTGGCAATTATTGAACTTTTTATACGAATAATCGAAAAACCGGTTATTATTCGTATGTTAATTAATCGATTATTTTTGAAAAAATTAAATATTTTCTTCAAAATTAAATTCTCTCTATTTCTAGCAAACGTTGAACATTATTTCATTCGAATAATCGAAAAACCGGTTTTTACTCGTATGTAAATTAATCGATTAGTTTTGAAAAAGTTAAATATTTTCTTCAAAATTCAATTCTCCCCATTTCTGACAAACGTTGAGCATTCTTTTATTCGATTAATCGAAAACCCGGATTGTATTCGTATATAAATTAATCGATTATTTTTGAAAAAGTTGAATATTTTCTTCAAAATTAAATTGTTTTTATTTGTGGCAAAGGTGGAACATTCTTTTATTTGAATAATCGAAAACCCGGTTTTTATTCGTATGTAAATTAATCGATTATTTTTGAAAAATTTACATATTTTCTTCAAAATTAAATTTTCTCTATTTCTGACAAACGTTGTAAATTCTTTTGTATGAATAATCGAAAAACCGGTTTTTATTCGTATATAAATTTATCGATTATTTTTGAAAAAGTTGTAAAGTAAAGTATTTGTTGCAAACGTTGAACATTATTTTATTCGAATAATCGAAAAACCGGTTTGTATTCGTATATAAATTAATCGATTATTTTTGAAAAATTTAAACATTTTCTTCCAAAATTAAATCCTCTCCATTTCTGACAAACGTTGAACATTATTTTATTGGAATAATCAAAAAATCGGGTTTCATTCGTATGTAAAATTATCGTTTTTTTTGGGTTTTTTTCGAATAAAATTTATACAAATTTCATTTATTTCATTAATTGAAATAACTTTTAGGGGTACTTTATTAATTTTATAAATTTCCAAGCCCACTTTTAGGCAAATTTAAATAATCAATTTAAAGTATACTTTTAGGCGCTTGAAAAAAATTTCGAATTTTATTTACAATTCTTTTAGCAAAACAAAATCCCTTTTGATCAAGCATAAAATTAATGTAAATAACCAGTCTAAGGGATGGATAGACAGACAGACGGCTAAATTAAAAGACCAAGACAATGTAATTAAACTAAAAATCGAACAAATCAAAGGCTATATACAAAGCTAAACAAATTCAATTTATAAAACAATCAAAGAAAGAAATCACCTAAAATAAATACAACTTTTGCTTTATACAAAACGAGCTTTGAAAAAGTTCTGTCCAAAAAAAAAAGAAACTCAAATAAAAAGAAAAATATTTTTGAGAGTATTTAACAAATATAAATAAAAGATAATTTTATTAGAAAACAAAACTACACAAGACACAAATAAATATTTTATGTTTTTTTGTCTGTTAATTTGTGTTGACAATTTGAAATTTGTAGAAAGCAAAAAAAAAAAAAAAAATGGTAAATGAGCAACAATTTGTTAAAAAAAAAGAAAACAAAAATTAGAATTAGAATTATCAAAAGGAAAAAAGAAAAACGTACTTAAATGAAAATTATATCAAAGGAAATATTTATTCTTTTCTTTTTTGCTAGCAGACGATATTGAAATGAAAACAAAGAAAGGAAATTATGTTGTTTGAAACGGAAATTGTGCATGTTTGAAAAGGAAGAAAAGAAAATCTAATGATGCTATTAAAGAATTTGTTTAATATTCAAATAAATTGCCTAGATTGAAGTGAAATAATACAAAAAATATTTCAATTTTCTTTAAAATTTAGGAAAATTTAAGGTACTTATTGAAACCCTAAATGTATGCTACAAATAACTATATAAGTTACCTAAAGCTATGTCTTAAAAAGTTTTAAACCAAAAATATATTAAACAAACTTATGTTTAAACCAAAAAAATGTTTTATACCTAAAACTAGGCCACAAATATTTGTTCCTTTTAATAAACTTCAAAGTAGGTTTTTCAATTTCTGGCAAACTATCATTTTTTATACTCCCCAAAATATGCAAAATTTTAAATATTTTATATACAGTACCAAACTAAAATTGTGGTTTAAAAACCTTTTAAAAAAATATTTATTTAGCAACCTAAAAGTAGGCCTCACAAATTATATTTGGTATTTACTAATTTATTAAACACAAGACAACGACCTTAAATAACATGAGGTAACTACTAACAACATAATTAATTTTTTTTTATTAAATATATTTATTTTATCCCCTTTTAACTCTTTGAAGATTTTGTGTTTTCTTTTTGGACAATTTTACAAAGATTTATTTTACTGGTTTTCCTTTTTAATTTGTGACCTTTTTTTCTTGCTCTCTGTCCAAACTTCCTGTTAAACTGTTATTTCCTTTTGTCATCTCAAAAATTTACCTTTTTTTTGGCAAACGAATTCTTTAACCGATTCTTTAAATTTGCTAAATATTTTCATTTTCAGTTAACATGTTTTGTATTCTAATGATGATGGTGTTTGTATCATATTCGCTGCTGAAAAAGGAGGAGAAGGCATTTTCTTGTATTTGTTAAGAAAATTTGTTTTATTTATCTTGGAGGGGGATGACGGTGACAGATGCTTTCATTAAATGATACAAATGTTTTATAGGTATTTTTGGTTTTATAGAGGTTTAGTGAACGCTTTGGACAGGACAAAAAGGGTTAAAAAGAATAACTTGCAAATTATGTTAAATTTTCAGGGAGACAACTAAATAAATGAAAGAAAGATTTTCTGGGGTTAAAGAAAACTTTTTTTAATTTTTTTGTGAAATATTAAAGAGTTTAGGATAAATTGAATATATTTTAACCTAAAATTAGGCAACACTATTTCGTAATTTAGGAGTACCATACGAAAACTCGGTTAAAGCTGACAAAACTGACAAATGGCTTAAATTAAATGACCGTTTTATTTTATTTTTCTTAAAATTTTGAAAATTTTTTATTCGAATAATTGAAAAACCGGTTTTTATTCGAATAAAAATTAATCAATTATTTGTGGAAACAAATTATTTCTATTAAAATTAAAGAACATTTCTTTTAAAAGTTATTTTTATTATAATTTAAAGTTTTTTAATCGTTTATTACTATTTTTATATATATATTAAACATTTTTAATCGAATAATCGAAAAACCGGTTTTTAATTGAATAAAACTTAAGAGAATTAATCTAGGCGAAATAAATTGCTTCTTTCTTTAATTTATTTTAGGGTTTAGAAGTATTTTTTTGTAATTATTCAAATTTCTTTATACGATTAATCGTGAACCCGGCTAAAATTAAACAATTCTCCGTTTAAAAGTTTTTTTTATTATATTTATTAATTTATAATTAAATAATTTTTAATCTTATAGTTGTATTTTTTTTATAAATATTGAAAAAATTTTAATCGAATAATCGCAAAACCCGGTTTTTTTTCGAATAAAAATTAATCGGTTAATTAAGAAAAAATCAATTATTTCTATTAAATTTAATTTATTTCATGATTTATATTTATTTTTTTGCGATTTAAAAAAATTTCTTTAAACGATTAATCGTAAACCCGGCTCCCGGCTACACGATATTACGTTTCAAATTTATTTTCATTATAATTAAATGATTTTTAATACTTTAATTCTAAATCCCTATAAATATTAAAAAATTTTATTTAAATTATGAAAAACTTGGGTTTTATTCGAATAGAAATTAATCGATTATTTTAGGGAAAAATAAGTATTTATTTAATTTTTTTTTTAATTTAAATTGATTTTTTGTAATTATTAAAAATTTGTAATACTACTAATCCTTAAACCGGTTCAAATTAAATCATTATTTTCTTTTCAGCCTGAAAGTAGGCAATATTCTAAATATTGAAATAACTTAATAACTTCTAAATATTGAAATAACTTAATTATATTAAGCCAGAAAACGTTATATTTCCAGCTACTAAAGTGTATAGAACCGATTATTCGTAAAACCGTTTTAAAATTAATCGATTAAACAACATTTCAATATAAAAATTTGCAAACCATGTATTTACTAGTTATAAAAATGTTTCATTTTAAAAGTTTTGCAATGACTATTCGAAAACCGGTTTTAGAACCGGCTGCAAAATAACAAATTATTTGTTAAAAAACTAATTTTGATTAAAAGATTTGCATATCTAATAGTCGACCCTTAAAAATATTTTTAACTTGAAATAGGAAAAATTGAATTTTCAGCCTAAAATTAGGCAACATTTTTTCTTATTTTGTGTAAAATAATAAATAAAACAACATTTAAAAACAAAAAATTGCAAGCCATGCAACTGTTAGTTATAAATTTGTTAATTTTAAATTTAAAAGTTTGGTTTTATAACCGGCTCAAAATTAATCGATTATTCGTTAAAAATGTTTTATTTAGAAAAAAAAATTTCAGTTTGAGCAATAAACCAAAGAATCTACCTTAAATTCAATAATATTTTTGCATTAAATGAAAAAATGGACATTTAGCCCAAAAGTAGGCAACATTTTTATTTATTTGTTTAAAATTACATTTAAATGCAAAAATGTGCATGCCTTATAATAGCTAGTAGCAAAAAAATATTTTTAAGAAGTTTTGAAACGATTATTCGAAACCCGGTTTTAGAACCGGTTCAAAATTAACCGATTATTCGTTAAAATATTTTTGATATTTTCTAAAATTTTCTATAAAACAACCAATTAACTTAAATTTAACTTAAGTTCTTTACAAAAGAGATTTTTTGATAAAATTTAAGGTTTTTTTGGAAAGACGGACATACAATCCCGATATAACTTTCAGATCTCATTTGACACTATTCCTCTACCTTTTTAATCATGGTCTATTTCATTACTATTATTTGAAATTAATAAATATTAAACTATAACATACCTTCAATATCACCCGGTGCAGCATTAACATACATCATTGTTTTAAGCCTAGATGTATGCAATACACCATTTATCAGCAGTAAACAATACAGAAAATAACGTATTAATCCCATGATGAAAACGTAATGTTTATATAGTTTTTATACAAGACGAACAAAAAATGTAATGCTGTAGAGTTGTAAAAATTCTGGGGGGAAACGTTGATAAAAATGTGGTTGTTGCTGTTGTTATTATTTTCAATTTTATTGTTTATTGTTGACAATGAGAAGAGTTAACCAAACATATGAATGTACAAATACATTTACACAAAAAAGTTAAATAAATGGCAAATATGTTTGTAAATGGTTTTTTTAAATTGTTCGCCTGGTTTTTAGCTGTATGCGGTCTGATAATATTATTTGATATTTAAGCCGTTGATAAGTGGTGGCTTAAACCAAATACCAAAACAACTGCGGGTTATATAAAACACAGCACGGCTGGGCAACAAAATTACGATATTTATTTATTTATTTAATTTATTTTTGTTTTTTTTTTTTGCATTTAAATGGCCTTAATGCTCGCTATAGGAGTAACAGAAATATGCACTCAACACACTAGGAGAGTTTTTGCCAACTATATCTCTGTCTATTTGTTCTTTTGCTTCGCTTGCGTTCAATATTTGAGTATTATTTTGAGGCTGCCATAAACTATGCTATGAATTTTGCTTTTGTTTGTTTTGTTGGTCGTTTATTTTAAACACAGACAAATGCATTAAAACACAAACATACAGGTGGTTTTATTAACAAATAATAGTTTATGTTTTTCACAATTTTTATTTCAAATATCATTAGATTTGTTTTTGTTCTTTGCTTAAAAATCCGTTTATTGTAGTTATAATTTTTATGTTGAGATTTATTTGCCTTTTCTCTTTGTTTATTTATTAATTAAATCATTTATTTGTTATGTATGTATAAGAATTGTTCATGGTTTTAATTGTGATTACACTTATTGTTATATGTATTTCCGCCTAAAAGTATGTATTTAAGTTTTTATTTCGTTTAATTTAATATTGTTGTTTATGTATATGCTGCAAATGGAAATGACCCTGAAATTGTTAATTTGTTTGTAAAAAATTTACGTATTTTTTTTTTTAAACACAATCACATGCTCAATATTGAAGTTGTCAGAGTTTTATTTAAATGTCAGCATTTTTAATTCATTTTTTTGTTATTTTCTTTATATAAAATGCTCGTTTATTTAAATATGGTATTAATTTGTTGAAATAAATATAAATGTAAAGAAAAGAGATTTACATTAACACAAGGTCATAGACTTTTAATATGTATGTTTTAATACTACTATATGAAAATGAAAGTAGTTAAGTAGTATTTAAATTAATTAAATAATAATGTGGTAGTTTAATGTAGTATTTTAATGCACACAAAAGTAGGCAGTAAAATATACTAATAAAACAACAAAGATTATTCAGCATTAAAAAAACGTTAAGCTATAATTTTAAGGAACTATACATAAACCCGGGTTTAAAATTATTCAATTAAACTGTTTAAAATTAAATAAACAAAAGCTAATTTAAAAATTTATTTAATTTTTCAAAAATTTAAAATTTTTCTTTTACAACCTAAAACTAGGCAACAATTTTCATTCCCAAACCTGCCAGGATCATTAAAAATTAATAAATTTGTTTACAAAATTTTAAAGATAATTAAAATTTAGTAAACTGTCTTAATTTTAAAATAAAAAATAACGATTATTCGTAAAACTGGTTTTTAATTAATCGATTATTCGCTATTTTAACAGCAACAAAACAGCAAGAAATTAATATAAACAATTTTACACAATATTTTACAACAATTTTCTCAAATTTGGTCTAAAAATTATACGAATAATCGCAAAACCGGTTTCTAATTTAATCGATTAATCGCCAAAATCTCACAAAACAAAAAAATTAAATATTTTTAAGATATTTTCTCGAATCAGTCATAAGCATTTTTCAAATAATTGAAATTTGTTTAAAACTTATTCGAATAATCGCAAAACCGGTTTCTAACTTAATCGATTAATCGCCAAAACTCACAAAATAAAAAAAAAAATAAAAACAAAGGAATGTCTTAATTTTGAAATAAATTCTTTATTTTAAGTCAAAAATTGCTACATTTTGCTGCTTAATCAGTGTAAATCTAAATTATTCGGAAAACCGGTTTTTACTCAAGCTATTATTCGTAGATTTTACATTAACCAAATAGTAATTTTTATTAGAAAAACAGTTTACACAATATTTAAAAAAAATTTCTCAAATTAAGCTTAAATCGAATAATCGTTAACCCGGGTTTTAAATTAAACGATTAATCGCAAAACGAAATCTCTATAAAACCAAGAAATAAATTGCAATGAAGTTTTTAAATCTCTAACAGTTTTTAGAAGAAAATTTCTTAAATTAAGCCTAAAATGTATTCGAATAATCGTTAAACCGGGTTTTGAACTAATCGATTAATCGCCAAAAGGAATCTCTATAAAACCAAGAAATAAATTGCAATGATGTTTTTAAATCTCTAACAGTATTTAGAAGAATTTTCTTTAAAAATTTAAAATTTTCACTTCTCAGCCTGAGGATAGGCAACAATTTCTTTATTAAACCTCTAATTATCACAGAGAGATCTAAATTTTTAAATAAATTCTATAAAGTCAAAACTATTTCAAGCTGAAGTCGTAATAATTATGTTTAAAAAAATGTTTAGCTAACAATTATTCGAAAAAAACGGTTTTTAGTTAATCGATTATTCGTATTATTTACTACCACAAAATCGCCTAAATTTCAATTTAAAACATTTAGAGCAATATTATAAAGAATTTTTTACAAAATTAGGTTTTAAAATAAAACGAATAAACGTAAACCCGGGTTTTTAAATAATCGATAAATCGCAAAGAACACTTAAAAAACCAAAAATTCAGAGAATAAACATTTAACAGTTTTTAACAGAATTCTTTTTATAAATTTTTAAAAATATTTGCTTCTCAGCCTAAAAATAGGCAACGATTTCTTTATAAAATCTCTAAAAATCCAGGAATAGCTTAAATTTTCATATAAACTATACATTTAAAGTCGTCAAAAGCAAACTTTTCTGCAAAGAACATATTTACGAAACGTTTTTTCGGAAACGATTATTCGTATCGTTCACAACATTAAATTCACACAAATTGTAATTTAAGGCATTTTTAACAATACAATACAACTCAGTTAACAAACTTTTAACAGTTTTTATAAATTTTATAAATTTTTAAAAATATTTGCTTCTCAGCCTAAAAATAGGCAACGATTTCTTTATGAAATCTCCAAAAATCCAGGAATAGCTTAAATTTTCATATAAACTTTTATACATTTAAGGTAAAAAAAACAAACTTTTCTGCAAAGATCATATTTGTGAAACGATTATTCAAAAACCCGGTTTTTAATTAAACGATTATTCGTATCGTTTACAACATTAAAAACACAAAAATTTTAATTTAAAGTATTTTGAACAATATTTATACGACATTTCTCTAAATCACACTTCAAAATTATTCGAATAATCCTAAACCGGGTTTGAAATTAATCGATTAATCGCCAAAAAAGAAACTTAAAATATTCACATAACAAATATGTAGCCAATTGTAAAACTTGTAATAGATTTTTCAAACATTTTCTAGAAAATTTTTAAAATATTTGCTTATCAGCCTGAAGGTAGGCAACAAATTTTTGAAAAAAATCGTTAAAAACAAGGAAAAGATGAAATTTTAATATAAACTATACATGCAAAGTCTGAAACTGAATTATTTTCAGCTATAAAAATATTAAATAAGCGATTATTCGAAAACCCGGTTTATAATTAATCGATTATTTGATACTTTTTACATGAAAAAAAGTTTATTTGAAACATTTAATGAAGCATTTGAAAGATATTTTCCAAAATCTGTTCAAAATTATTCGAATAATAAGAAAACCCGGGTTGTTATGGAATTAAAATTAACTTTTAGATTCAAAACATTTTGCGCTTTAAAGTATGCTTCATTTTTTTGTCAGATTTCAATTTCGTAAAGACTGTGTCCCCCTACCAAGAAAGGAAAAAAGTATCCACTGGCTGTCATGAAGGTTTTTTCCTTTCTTCGGTTTTTTTAACACCCGCTGAAAATATTAAAAACTAATTAACTTTTTGTTATTAATAAGTAAATGAAATTGACAGACAACATAATTAAAATTTAAGCTGAATTTCTTTTCCTTATCTAACTAATGGCCAATTGCAAACAAAAAATATATTTTTTTAAAGTTCAATGAGAAGGAAAATGTAAAGAAAAACAAACTATAGCGTACAATTTGGCGGTTGTTATTAAATAACTATTACTACTAAAACCAAGACAACTAAGCAAAAAGGAGAAATAGGGAGACAGAGAGGGACTCTTAAAAACTGTCAATAAATAGCAAGACTTCAATTATAAATAAATAAACTTTGAAAGTTAGTTACACAAACAAGTTTTTGACAACAAATGTTTTTTTTTTTTCTTTCTACGAAATTAGTCTAATGTCTGGTTATACAAAAAAAAACAACAAGTCAATATAAGAAAAACCTTAATAAAAAATATTATATTTAATATACAAAATAAAATGGCAACAAATGTGTACGAAAATATAAAATTTCTATCAAAACATTTCTTTTTTAAGGGTTTCAGCGTATATTGAACCATAATAAACAGCAGACATACAGTTCAATAATAACACAACAACAATGATAACAATAAAGAAAAATGTATTAAAGAAATTATTGCAAAAAAAAAAACTAAAAGAATGAAAAATAAAAACATTTAAAATGTTACGAATACAAAAAACTTCACTGTATGTGGGTGTTTTGGTAATAAAATTTTAGAAATTGTCTGTCTGAAGGTTGTTATTCGAAATAAACACAATAAGAGTATAACATTTTGTTGATTTTATTTAGAAAAATAAGCGGAGGTTAAAGGGGTATCGTCAGTAAATGGCGATTAAGGGAAAAAGTTACTTTTTCCAAAAAAGTTAAAGGATGAAAAGTAAAGGACATAAAAGAGTTTAAGGATAAAGGTAGTTTTGAAAAAGTTAATTTAAATATTTTTGAAAAATTATTTGTTTCAAAAGTTGTCTTGAAAATATCAATTCAGCTAAGTAATTTTAAAGAAGACTTATAAAATTATGTATTTTACAGCAAAATTTTAAATTCAGCTGCTAGTTTTAACAATTCAGCTTTATGTTTTTAGTTAAAATTAAGAGATTAACATTACAAGATATTAAAAACTTTATTCAGCTAACGAAATTTGTAATTCAGCTAAATAAATTTCTTTAAAATTTTTCGAAATTTAATTTTTTATTTGAAATTATCAAATTCAGATGAATAATTTTACTTATAAACCTAATAAAATTGTAATTTTGTACGAAAAAACTTTATATAGTTGAGATTTTTACAATTCAGCTAAATAATTTTAAAGAAAATTTTTAAAAATTTATATTTTACAGCAAAAATTCTAAATTCAGCTAGTGATATTTATAATTCAGCTAAGTATTTTTGGTTTACAAACTCAGATCAACTTTTGAAAATGTTAAAAACTTAATTCAGCTAATGAAATCCCTAATTCAGCTGCTGAATTTTTCAAATTAAATTTTTTATTAAAATTATCTTATTCAGCTAAAAATTTTAGCTAATTTTAAAGAAAACTTAGAAAATTTTCTATTTTTCGGTAAAATTCTAAATTCAGCGGTATTTATAATTCAGCTAAGTATTTTCTAGTTGCCCATCTCCGATCAACTTTTGAAAAAGTTAAAAACTTAATTCAGCTAATGAATTCCCTAATTCAGCTGCTCAATTTTTCAAATTAAAATTATCTTATTCAGTTAAAGGGTTTTAGCAATTCAGCTAAGCAAATTTTAAAGAAAACTTAGAAAAATAAAAATTTTACAGCAAAATTTTCAATTCAGCTGCTGGTATTTATAATTCAGTTAAGTATTTTTGATTGAAAATAGGAGATTAATATTTAAAGATGGTAAAAACTTAATTAAGTTGTTGGATTTTGTAATTCAGCAAAGTAAATTTTGTTAAGTAATTGTTTATATTGCAATTTTTATTAAAATTGTCAAATTCAGCTAAAGATTTTTACAATTCAGCTAAGTAATTTTAATGAAAATTTTGAGAAATTTATATTTCCCTAGAAAATTCTAAATTCAGCTGCAGTTATTTACCATTTAGCTAAAGATTTTTAATTGCAAATTAAAATTTTGTTAAGTAATTGTTTATATTGCAATTTTTATTTAAATTATTATATTCAGCTAAAGATTTTTACAATTCAGCTAAGTAATTTTAAAGAAAACTTGGAGAAATTTATATTTCCCTGGAAAATTCTAAATTCAGCTGACGTTATTTACCATTCAGCTAAGTATTTTTAGTTACAAACTAAAGAACATTATTATAATGTTAAAAACCTAATTCAGCTAATGAATTTTGTAATTCAGCTAAGAAATTTTTTTAAAAAAGTTATTCAAATTAAAATTTTTAATAAAATTATAAAATTCAGCTGGATGTTGGTTGAAACTAAGAAAACAACATTAGAAAATAATAAAAACTTAATTCAGCTGATGAATTTTATAATTCAGCTGAAGAATTTTGTAATTCCGCTAAGTAAATTTTTACAAAAATTCCACAAAATGAAATTTTTATAAAAATTAATGAACTTAGCAGAAATTTTGAACAATTCAGCTGGGAATTTCTTAAAGTTGAAAAGAATATAATAACAATTTTGTATAGAAATGAAATTTGTCTCATGTTTTTAAATCCAGCTGTATAAATTTCAGCGGAATAAGTTATAATTAGATTTTTATAAAATTTAGCTAAAGTCTTTAACAATTCAGCTAACTGAATTTTGCTATCCAGCTAAGTAAATTTCTGATAACGTCAATAAATGTGATTATTTGTTGGAATATATCATTCAGCTGTTAAATTTTGGCAATTCAGCTATGAATATTTAATTCAAATTGAAAATTTTTTTAATTTTATTAAATTCAGCTGCAGATTTTTAAAATTCACTTAGCTGAATTGTAAAAAAAAATTCATAAAAAGCATTTAAAATAGTACTTTTGTTTGGAAAAATTTTATAGAAATGGGAGTTTTTTACAATCATATAGATATTTTCTAATTCAGCGGAATAAATTTTTGCGTAAAGTATACTATTGATTTGAATTTTTTATAAAATTAAAGATTTTTTTAATTCAGCTAGCTGAATTTGCTATTCAGCGAACTAACTTTCTTATAAACTTAATAAAATAATTAGCGACTCAATAATCCATTCAGGAAAAATATTTCTATACTCTTTAGCTTTGGGAGAAGTATAAGTCCGTCATTATAATTTCCATATATAATTGTGCGATCCTATAAAGTATATACTGTATTCTCGATCCTTATATATAGTGGAGTCGATACAGCTATGTCCTGTCTGTCCGTCCTTCTGTGTGTCTGTCCGTCTGCATATATTTTGACAAGAACTTTCTAAAGACCTTAAATGTCTTTGAAATCCAAATCTTCAATAATTCCATTAGACATACTTTCGAGAAGTTTGCTATATAAAATCAGCAAAATCGGTCCATAAGTAACGGCGATAGGAGTGTGTTCATTGTATTATGTTTACTTTTTATAGACCAGAAATTAGCGGCTGAAAACAACAACAACATATAACATTTGTACACAAGATTTGTCATAATTAACGGCTGAAATCAGGGATGGAAAAAATTTATGAATAAAATTAAAAATTATCAATCAAAACTTTAAAAAAAATTAGTTTGACAATTAAAGGAAAATTAAGAATTTTCGAAAAAAGAACATTTTCAAAAATTTTGGAAAATAACATCCTTTAGCAGTCTAACAGGTTTAAAACTAGATTTCGAAAAGTTTCAAAGTTTTGACCTGCTAACAGTTAGTCCTAAACAAATCTCTAACGTGTACAATCTTTAGTCAGTTTTTCAGTGTGGGTTTTTGTATTGACAACAAAATTTTTGAGAATTGAGCAAGAATTTACTTTGTATAGTATGTATGTTTGTTGTTATTATTTAACACAAAAATTTGTTTCAAAGGTACAATATAGTATGCAGGTCTGTGCATGTTTTTTTTATAAATGAGATAAAAACTAAAAGCAAACCAAAAACCGTTAACTAAGAGAGCCTTCAAAAAGGCGCCTTTTGCCAATACACATACACACATTAACAAACACACTTAAACAAAATCTATGTAAATATAACAACAACAACATTTAGCAACAAAACAAGGAAAACAAGAGTAAAGAGCAAATATTTTTGCTTTATAACAAAAACTACAACAAAGTTGAAGTTTTTTTTTGCACAAAAAAAAAAGAAATTTACTACAGGACAGAAATGTTAAAAGGAATTTGTAGAAAAAAATTGATAAAAATTGTATGAGAATTAAAATAAAAACCCTTAACAACTTCAATATTGATTTATTAAATACTAATAAATTACTTTTTTTTTGTTATAAATAAATTAAGAATTTCTTTCAATTATCAGCTGTTTACGTTTTAATTTTTTCACTTTTTTTTGGGGGTTTATTTTTATACACCCAAGAGATAAACTTCACACAAACAAGCACACTCTTTAATAAATCACTTTTAAATTTAATACAATTTAATTTATATTTTTATAAAATTTCTTTTTTTAAAAGAATTATATTTCTTATTTTTCTCCAGTTATGTGTTACTTTTTAAACTTTTCTTAATTTCTTAATATTTTGCTTTTTTTGTTTGTTAATATTTCCTTTAAATTTCTAAATATTTTGTATTTTTTCCATACAAAAGAAACACACACAGAATACAATTCTTTTATTATCAATCCGTTTAATACAACCGTATCAATTTAAAGTTTGCTGTTGACTAAAATCTTTGTTTCAGCATCCCTGCTTAAGTCTGGTCATGTTTTTCCCAAAAAAAAGAAAGAAGATTGTAAAACAAGTACAAAATAAAAGCAAACAATTGCGAGTACAATAATAAAAAGAACAAGAAAAAACAGCATCTCAATCCAAGCATTAATCTCTCTACTATCAAATACAGCATCCCTTAATAAAAGAGAGAAAGCTTGACACACTCTCCTATGCAAAAAAAAGCTTTTTATTATCAAGTAATCAACAAACAAATGTACCGTTAGGAAATCTTTTTAACAATTGCTTGTAGTAATAACAGCCAAAAAAGCTTTATAATTTACTCTCTCCTTTATTAATGCAGTTTGTTTTGTTTTGCTTTATTAAATTGCAATTGCGCATACGCTTAGAGTAACCAAAACAATTCCAAATGAAACTTAATGGCAAAGAGAGTAAAGGAGTGTGTGTGTTTGTGCCATTTAAAGCCTCTATATTACAGGCTTTGAGTAACGTTGTTTATACAGCGAGTGACAAACAATAAGCCGTAAGTTGTTGTAAATTCTTACTAATAATTCTTAAGCTTTTTTCAAGTCATAAAGATTGTGTAGAAGAGGCAACTGTTACTTTCAAAAAGGAAAACGATACTAAAGCTTTTACTGTTTTTTCAAAAGGGGAAGAGTTTACTTTAAAGGCGAGAAATGTTTTAAAGTCTAGCTATATAGTAGTCTTAGTCTAGTCTATAATATCGTCTAGAGCCTAGTCTATAACCTAGTATATAGTCTAGTCTATAGTCTTGCCTGTAGTCTAGTCTAGTCTATAGTCTAGTTTATAGTCTAGTCTATAATCTAGTCTATAGTCAGTCTATAGTCTATAACTAGACTAGATCTATAGACTAGACTATAGACTAGGACTATAGGACTAGAGACTATAGACTAGACTATAGACTAGACTATAGACTAGACTATAGACTAGGACTTATAGACTAGACTATAGACTAGACTATAGACTAGGACTATAGACTAGACTATAGACTAGACGAGGGACTAGACTAGATAGCTAGACTATAGACCTAGACTATAGACTAGACTATAGACTAGACTATAGACGAGACTATAGACTAGACTATAGACTAGACTATAGACTAGACTATAGACTAGACTATAGACTAGACTATAGACTAGACTATAGACTAGACTATAGACTAGACTATAGACTAGACTATAGACTACTAAGACTAGACTATAGACTCGACTATAGACGTAGGACTATAGACTAGACTATAGACTAGACTATAGACTCGACTATAGACTAGGACTATAGACTAGACTGATCAGACTAGACATAGACTAGACTATTAGGACTAGACTATAGACTAGACTATGACTAGACTATAGACTAGACTATAGACTAGACTATAGACTAGACTATAGACTAGACTATAGACTAGACTATAGACTAGACTATAGACTAGACTATAGGACTAGACTATAGACTAGACTATGAGACTAGACTATTGACTAGACTAGAGACTAGACTAGACTAGTACTATAGCAGACTATAGACTAGACTATAGACTAGACTATAGACTAGACTATAGACTAGACTATAGACTAGACTATAGACTAGACTATAGACTAGACTATAGACTAGACTATAGACTAGACTATAGACTAGACTATAGACTAGACTATAGACTAGACTATAGACTAGACTATAGACTAGACTATAGACTAGACTATAGACTAGACTATAGACTAGACTATAGACTAGACTATAGACTAGACTATAGACTAGACTATAGACTAGACTATAGACTAGACTATAGACTAGACTAGACTAGACTAGACTAGACTATAGACTAGACTATAGACTAGACTATAGACTAGACTATAGACTAGACTATAGACTAGACTATAGACTAGACTATAGACTAGGCTATAGACTATAGTATAGTCTAGTCTATAGTCTAGTATACTATACTAGGCTATAGACTAGATTATAGTGTAGTCTATCTATAGACTATAGACTAGACTATAGTCTAGGCTTTAGTCTAGTCTTTAGTCTAGTCTTTAGTCTAGTTTGTAGTCTTGTCTATAGTCTAGTCTATAGTCTAGTCTATAGCCTAGTCTATACTCTAATCTATAGTGTGGTCTGTATTCTAGGTTGTAGTATAGTCTATAGTCTAATCTATATTCTAGTCATGTTTTTATTGTAAATCACAAATCTTAATATAAATTTTCCACAATTCCTTTGGTTAAGTTTGCTGGTGGCCGTTACAAAAAAAAATATTTTGTTCTTTTGATAATTGAAAAAAAAAACCCTTCCTTAAGCAAAACACGATTTAATAATTTAATCATATACATATGAACTTTGAACTCAAATTTGTCTAATCAAAAAAAAAAAAAAAATTAAAAATTTCGTACCAAGCAAGCACAGTACAGAGAGGAGAAACATTTACAGTTAAGAGATAAGAAAATAAATTTACAAAAATTGGAAAGTATTTTAAAAATTAAAATTTATTAAATTGGCGGCGGCATTTTTCAATAAAAGAAATTTAAAAAAAGCTTCTGATTAGGTTATAGGAAATTTTATTAGTTTAATAACTCAATAAATTTGTTATTAAAACGTAGTTTAAATGATAAGGTTTTATAATATAGAACTGAAATAGACAACATTGACACAAAACTATATTTATTGAAATGTTTTATTATTTATGAGATTTTAAATAGAAAATATTATCAAATACCAACAACTACAAGTACAAACTATACAAATATTTAAATAATAACAAATGTCGTGCATTTTAAGATTCTTATCACGTTTGCAAACATTCAATATTATTTTACAAAGTGTAATCTGTTTTAAATTTCAATGGCGTTTAGGATGCCATTTTTTTCAAACTGCACATGTATATGTACACATGCATGTATGCAGCAGGATAAGTGTGTAAGAAAATTTAGGTCTCAGCTTGCAGTTTTGTTGATTCTGTGAGCTGGTTGTTTTTTTCTTTTCAGACTCTTGCACTTGGCTGCATTAAAAGTATCATTATCTTGATTTTCAACATCATCATCATCATGCTGATTCTCCCCCTTTCCAACACCTCCTTCAACTTTTAATCTCTCTAACTGCCTTTAAAAGTGTTTTGCAATCATATGCTACGTTTAGTCTCTGTCATTTGTGTCACAGTCATTGTCACTGTCACTTACACTAAGGGGCGACTTTTATCCTTGGCTGGTTATTTCCTTGACATCCAAATCGTTTATATAATACAGAAAAAATGAATAAACGAAATGAAAACTAAAAATCATGTGAAAAAATTGTCATACAATATACAAACAGGCACACACACACTCAAGCACTGTATATCCTTCCTTATCCTTTTGTCCCCCCAAACCCTTTATTTACTTAAACATGCAAAATGCTATAAATTGGAAAGGGTTGGATGGTATACACATAAGAAGATGATGACTTTTAGAAGCCGGCTATAAGTAGCACTTAAAAAATAAAACTGTTTGCTGTATGTAGAATAGACAGACAGACATAGAACGAGAGAGAATTATGACAGTTTTGTAATACTAGACCTACGTGTTGTTGTTACTGTTGCAGTTGCTGTGACGTTTGTGTGTTTGATGTAAAGTCTATGGCAAACATTGTTGGAATGTTGGCAAAACGATTTGCAAGATTGTTTGCATATAGCAATGTTTGTTGGTAAAAAAGAACACATAACGAAAAAGAATATTAGAGATTAAGGAAATTTGTAAAAAGTAGAATTGTTGATTTAAATTTCTTAAAAATTAAAGAAAGTTTGCATAAAGCAATATTTTTAATCGGAAGAGTGGGAATATTTCATTTTCAAGGCCAAAAGAGTTATTACTAAGCTTTTTCCCAATAGATTTTAGGTAAATTATGTATAGGAAGAGTTTTTTTTTAAGTAGGAACAGTTTTTTTAATAAAGTGGGAAGAGCTTATTTTAAAGCGATTAACAGGTTTTATAATTTTATATGCATTCTGAAGAAAATTATGGGTAGGAAGAGTCTGTTTTGAACTGTGGGAACAGTATATATGAAGAGAGATTTTTAAGATGTTTAATATTTCTTTTAGAAATTTAAGGAAAATAATGGATGAGAAAAGTTTTTAATTAAGTGGGAACAGTTTTTTCTTGTATAGTTGGTTTGAGTAATTTTTATTATCTTTCGCGAATTATTCGGACAGTTTTTTGTAAAGTGGGAAGAGTTTTTATTTAAAGCCTCTAGTCTATAGTCTAGACTAAAGTCTAGTCTATAGTCTAGTCTATAGTCTAGTCTATAGTCTAGTCTATAGTCTAGTCTATAGTCTAGTCTATAGTCTAGTCTATAGTCTAGTCTATAGTCTAGTCTATAGTCTAGTCTATAGTCTAGTCTATAGTCTAGTCTATAGTCTAGTCAATAGTCTAGTCTATAGTCTAGTCTATAGTCTAGTCTATAGTCTAGTCTATAGTCTAGTCTATAGTCTAGTCTATAGTCTAGTCTATAGTCTAGTCTATAGTCTAGTCTATAGTCTAGTCTATAGTCTAGTCTATAGTCTAGTCTAAAGTCAAGTCTATAGTCAAGTCTATAGTCTAGTCGATAGTCTAGTCTATAGTCTAGTCGATTGTCTGGTCTATAGTCTAATCTAGTCTAGTCGATAGTCTAGTCGATAGTCTAGTCTATAGTCTAGTCTAGTCTATAGTCTAGTCTATAGTCTAGTCTATAGTCTAGTCTATAGTCTAGTCTATAGTCTAGTCTATAGTCTAGTCTATAGTCTAGTCTATAGTCTAGTCTATAGTCTAGTCTATAGTCTAGTCTATAGTCTAGTCTATAGTCTAGTCTATAGTCTAGTCTATAGTCTAGTCTATAGTCTAGTCTATAGTCTAGTCTATAGTCTAGTCTATAGTCTAGTCTATAGTCTAGTCTATAGTCTAGTCTAAAGTCTAGTCTATAGTCTAGTCTATAGTCTAGTCTATAGTCTAGTCTATAGTCTAGTCTATAGTCTAGTCTATAGTCTAGTCTATAGTCTA